AAGGATATGGAGAAATTAGAAGCCTTGTGTACTGCCAGTGGGAATGTAAAACAATATAGCTGCTATGGAAAATGGTGTGGCAGTTCCTGAAAAAATTAATGTCATTCAGCAGTAGGTGGTTATATGCCCAGAAACAATTGACAGCAGGGATATGAACAGATATTTTTACACCCATGTTTATAACAGCATTCTTCCTCCTCTTCTTCTTCTTCTTCTTCTTCTTCTTCTTCTTCTTCTTCTTCTTCCTTCTTCCTTCTTCCTTCTTCCTTCTTCCTTCTTCCTTCTTTCTTCCTCTTCTTCCTCATCCTCTTCTTCTTCTTTTCTTCTTCTTCCTTTTTTTTTTGAGATGGATTTTCACTCTTATTTCCCAGGCTGGAGTGCAATGGTGCAATCTTGGCTCACTGCAGCCTCCGCCTCCTGGGTTCAAGTGATTCTCGTGCCTCAGCCTCCACAGTAGCTAGGATGACAGGCACGTCACCACGTCCAACTAGTTTTTGTATTTTTAGTAGAGACAGGGTTTCACCATGTTGGCCAGGCTGGTCTCAAACTCCTGACCTCAAGCAGTCCGCCCGCCTCAGCCTCCCAAAGTTCTGGGATTACAGGTGTGAGCCACTGCACCCAGCCAGCAGCATTACTCTTAATGGCCAAAAGGTGGAAGCAATCCAGGTTTCCATCAGAGGAAGGCTAAAGAAATGGCTAAAGAAAATGTGCTATATCGGCCGGGCGCGGTGGCTCAAGCCTGTAATCCCAGCACTTTGGGAGGCCGAGACGGGCAGATCACTAGGTCAGGAGTTCAAGACCATCCTGGCTAACGTGGTGAAACCCCGTCTCTACTAAAAAAATACAAAAAACTAGCCGGGCGAGGTGGCGGGTGCCTGTAGTCCCAGCTACTCGGAGGCTGAGGCAGGAGAATGGCGTGAACCCGGGAGGCGGAGCTTGCAGTGAGCTGAGATCCGGCCACAGCACTCCAACCTGGGCGACAGAGCGAGACTCCGTCTCAAAAAAAAAAAAAAAACAAAAAATTAGCCGGGCGAGGTGGCGGCGCCTGTAGTCCCAGCTACTCGGGAGGCTGAGGCAGGAGAATGGCAGGAACCCGGGAGGCGGAGCTTGCAGTGAGCTGAGATCCGGCCACAGCACTCCAGCCTGGGCGACAGAGCGAGACTCCGTCTCAAAAAAAAAAAAAGAAAAAGAAAATGTGTATATCATACAGCAGAATGTTTTGCATCCTTAGAAATGAAGAAAATTCTGACACGTGCACTGCAACATGGCCGAACCTTAAAGATGATGAGGCCACCTCAGGTCTGCTAGTCAGAGAGAGACAGAGACTGCATGAATCCACTTGTATGTGGTGCTCGGGTACGAGAAAGTCGCATGGTGGTTGCCAGGGCCTGAGGGGAGGCAGGGATTGGCAGTTATTGTTTAATGGGTCCATCTTGGGTTTTGCAAGATGAAATATGTTCTGAAGATGGATGGTGGTAATGTTTGTACAACAATGTGAATGCACTTAATGCTACTGAACTGGACACATAAAAAGTGGTTAAATTGATAATCAGAAACTGATAGTAAGGAAATACAAGTTTCTGAATTAACTGATACAGAATTTAAAATAACTGTCTTAAACATGTTCAGTGAGCTAAAAGAGAATTCAGACAACTAAATGAAATCAGGAAAATGATACATGAAGAAAAACGGTAAATTTTATGTTATGTATATTTTACTCCAATTTTAAAACATAATTAAAACAAAATCCAGCATTGCTTATTTCATTTTTTAATTATAAAAAACAATTGAAGTTATTCTTCACCAGGGTCCTTTTGCATCCCAACCCCATCACACACCTGACATTTGACAATGTGCGGAGACCTTTTTTGAGGGTTGGGTACTACTGGCATCGGGTAGGTTGAGATCAGGGATGCTGCTAAACATCCTACAGTGTACAGGACAGCCCCTCACTATAAATAATTGTCCAGCCTCAAATGTCAGTGCTGCTGAGGTTGAGATACCCTGAAATAGAATGATGACCAGTTAAAAGCCTAGAGAGGCTCTTGTATGATTGCATCTTTGTTTAGGGAGGAAAAATGATGACAGTATGAAAATTGGGCTGTACAGTGAAAATTGAGAGTCATTAAGAGGTGTATTAGTCTGCTGGGGCATATCACCGGCTGGGTGGCTTAAACACCAGAAGTTAATTCTCTCACAGTTCTAGGGGCTAGAAGTCTGAGGTCAAGGCACTGGCAGGGATGTTTTCTGGGAAGGCCTCTCTCCTCGGCTTGCAGATGGCTGTCGTCTCTGAGTCTTCTCATGGTTTGTCCTCTGTTTGCACTTAACTCCTGCCGTCTGTTTCTTTTTCTTTTCTTTTCTTTTCTTTTCTTTTTTTTTTTTTTTTGAGACAGTCTCTCTCTGTTGCCCAGGCTGGAGTGCAGTGGTGCAATCTCGGCTCACGGCAAGCTCTGCCTCCTGGGTTCATGCCTTTCTCCTGCCTCAGCCTCCCGAGTAACTGGGACTACAGGTGCCCACCACCACACCCGGCTAATTTTAGTAGAGATGGGGTTTCACTGTGTTAGCCAGGATGGTCTCAATCTCTGGACCTCATGGTCCGCCCTCCCAAAGTGCTGGGATTACAGGCCTGAGCCACTGTGCCTGGCTCATCTCTTTCTTTTCTTAGGAGTACCCCAGTCCTATTGGATTAGGGCCCCACTCTGTGACCTTATTTACTTCCATAAAGGCCTTATCTCCAAATAGTTGTACTGGGAGTTAGAACAACATACGGATTAAGATTAGGGGAGACACAATTCACTTCATTATATTCTGCCCTCTGACCCCCCTCAAATTTACATCCCTTCACTTCAAAAATACATTCACCCCCATCTCAACAGCTCTGAACATCTCAACTCATTCTGGCATCAGCTCCAAGTTCAGAGTCTCATCTAAATAGCATTCAACTCAAGTATAGGGGAGACTTGAGGTATGATCCATCCTGAGACGTAATTCCTCCCAGTTGTGATGGTATAGGCACTGGATAGATATTCCCATTCCAAAAGGGAGAAACCAGAAGAAAGTGCTTCTAGACAAGTCCAAAACCTAGCCAGGCAAATCCCATTACGTCTTAAGCCTAGAGGATCATCCTCTTTGGCTCCACGCTGTGCCCTCCACGCCCTCTTCGCCCTCTAGGGTGGTGGCTTTGCCCCTGAGGGCTGTGGTCAGAGGCAGCTGGGTTCGCTGTAACTATCAGAGGTGGCCCTACCCTGTGAAATCAAGGGGTAGACAGGCTTGCCCTGAGCTTATATACTCTGTGTCTTGGTGGCAGTGGCAGCACTGGGGGTCTCTAAATTGCGCTTGGGATCATCCTTCCTTTTCTTGAAGAACAAAGAATGTTTGCATCCAGGTAGCTCTGCTTTCAGAAGTCCAAAGCCTTACTATATTTTATTCCATGTCCATCCCCTTTACTGCAAGTTGCCAGTATCTCTACTGGTATAATCCCATCTCTCTTCCTGGCTTCTGCTGAGAGGGCTGATTAAGTCTAGGGAATCTCTTTAGAGGGGAGTGTTCAGCCACACCCTTGATTTTTCTCTCTGTAACACTCTTATTTTTTGTAATATGGATAGCCTGAGAATTTTCTGACTCTAGTTCCTGAGTCCCTGTTGCTTAACAATTTCTTTAATTTGTCTTTTCCCTTTTGCATTTTACTGTAACCAGTTAAGGAGAAATCAGGTTGTATCTTCAACACTTTCCTTATAAATCTCCTCTGCTAAATATCCAAGGTTGTCACCCACAAAGCCACTTCTCCATTTCTATTTAGTTGTTACAGTGACACCCACCTCATAATCCAAATCTGTTTTATTTAGGGTTCTCCAGAAAAACAAAGCCAGTAGGATTTTTTTTTATATGTAGGAGATTTATTAAAAGGAATTGGTTTATGCAAGTATAGATTCTGTTGAGTCCAAAATATGCAGTGTGGGCCAGCAGCCTGGAAACACAGGAGAGCTGATGGGGCAGATGAAAGCCAAAGGCAGTCTCTTGCTCAGGAAAGTCAGTGTTTTTGTTCTGCCCAGGTTTTCAGGTGATTGGATGGGGCCCATCCACATTATGGAGGGAAGTGTGCTTACTGAAAGCTCACCAACTTAAATGTTAATCTCCAAAGATTCATTCCGGATTGACACATAAAATTAACCATCACTGGAGGTAATAATAGTGTAGATAAGACAGGCCAGCACCAATAGAGGTTTAAAAAAATCTGAGTGAAAATATAATATAACAAACTGGAAAATATAATTGGATGTGGGAGTAAGTGCAAAATTGCAAGCCTTTGTTTTTGCAAAGATGGTGGTACCATTTTTCTAAAATGCCCAGGGCAGAAGGCACTGCACTTACTAGAATGATTACTTAAAAAGTGATTCTCCACCTCGGCTACATGTAGAATCATCTGGAAGATTTTAGGAATCTCTCTATCCAAGCTATGCTACACACCAGTTAAATCTAAATTCTGGGCGTAAAGCCAGGCGTGGTGGCTCAAGCCTATAATCCCAGCATTTTAGGAAGCCAAGGTGGGCGGATCACCTGAGGTGAGTTTGAGACCAGCCTGGCCAACATGGTGAAACCCTGTCTCTACTGAAAATACAGACATTAGCCAGGTGTGGTGGCACACACCTGTAATCCTAGCTACTTGGGAGGTTGAGGTAGAGGAATTGCTTGAGCCTGGGAGGTGAAGGTTGCAGTGAGCCGAGATCACGTCATTTCTCTCCAGCCTGCTGGGCAACAGAGCGAGACTCCATCTCAAAATAAATAATTACATGAAACAAATAATAAATACATTCTGGGCATGAGACCAGGCGTCAGTATTTAAAAACCTCCCTAGGTGATTCCAGAGTGTAGCCAGCCTTGAGAACTGCTTTTGAGAGAAGCAGAGTCCTGAGAAGCCTTTTACAAAAATTTTACCTGCCCGACAAAATCCTGGAGTACATGAGCCCAAGTTTCATTTCCGTGCTGCTTTCTTTTCCTAGCTGGCCTTGGTCGCACGGGCACTCTGATAGCATGCTACATCATGAAGCACTACAGGATGACAGCAGCCGAGACCATTGCGTGGGTCAGGATCTGCAGACCTGGCTCGGTGATTGGGCCTCAGCAGCAGTTTTTGGTGATGTAAGTAGTAGCGTACGTCTGTAGTTCCAAGGGAACAAGTGGGGTTGGAATCTGATGGGGACTGGAATTTCCCTTAGTTTCCAGTAACAATGGATAGTCTGGTAGGAAGAAGTTGTTCATGTGTCTTTCTGGAAAGCTCTATTTTGATGTTATTTAAATGCTCTAGGAAGCAAACAAGCCTCTGGCTGGAAGGGGACTATTTTCGTCAGAAGTTAAAGGGGCAGGAGAATGGACAACACAGAGCAGCCTTCTCCAAACTTCTCTCTGGAGTTGATGACATTTCCATAAATGGGGTCGAGAATCAAGACCAGCAAGAACCCGAACCGGTAATGAAGCTGTTTCTGTTGAGATGTTGTTACAGCTTTAACTGCTGTTGAAACCTTGTCAGGGCATGGAGAAATCTGTAGGTAAAATAATAAAGCAGCTCTTGGATGATTGTCAGTTTTTTATATTTATAACCCTCTCTAGGCACTTTTTACCCAAAATAGTGGAAACGAGGTTGTGCATCCATAAAACTGTAACTTGGCAGGTGCATAAAAGGTTGTGAAGTGAGCTCTTTAGCCAGATCTAACCTGCCCCTCACCCCTTTTTGCCATTTCACAACAGCCGATTTAGGAAAGCAATCAGTCTCAAATGGAGAGCTTTTAGCAAATCAAGGGCTTAGGGGGCAGCAGTACCACATGAAGTGGTAGTAAGTACACTGTGAGATTTTAAAAAGAATGTTTTCAAACGTGAAAGCCCATTAACCGTCTTCACTGTTGATACGTTCTATAATGAGTGCTGGGCTGTCTCTGAAAGTCAACTTTGGCTGTCTTAAAATGTGATCTGTAGCTTGATTGTGAAATGAAAAATACTTCAGAGTTTGCAGAAACGTGGACTCTCTGTGTTTATGTGGATAAATTGCTGCTCTGCTTTACTGCATTAATAAGTGCAATTTAAACCATTAGCTCAGTGTTTTTTTTACTTACACAGTACAGTGACGACGACGAAATCAATGGAGTGACACAAGGTGATAGACTTCGGGCCCTGAAAAGCAGAAGACAATCAAAAACAAACGCTATTCCTCTCACGTGAGTCTGGGTTCCTCTGTTGTGGTTGATGTTTCTTTATTATGTGTGTGGGGTCCTTGGTGAGGGTTTTTCCTGTACATTTTTCTCCATAGTTGCAAGCCCATGATGCCACTTTGAAATGTTTGCCTATGTTATTTAAAACCTAGGGGTGCTGGCCTTGGAATCTCTCAGCTGTCCCTTGTTTACCTTGGTCCTCATGAGCCTTTATGGGTGGGAAGGCGACATCAGGGATACTTTTTCTCCATGAATAATCAGCCCGGGGCATCCTCCAGAGCTCAGCAGCAGATGGAAAGCCCAGGATGCCAGACCTGTCCGTAGTTATAAACTGGTCTGTTTCTTTACATTCGCCATGTTGCAGATCATTCATTTTGATCAGCATGACATGACGGCTTAATGACATTACGTTGTTTTTGGGGCAACAGTGAACTGGTCTAAACTATATTTTGGGTTTTTTGTTTGTTTCTTTGGGGAAGGATTTTCTAATTACAGAGGAAGATTTAGCCTGAGAATAGGAAGTGTTACAGTTACTGAGTGTATGTGTGTCCGTGTGTACATTCTTGTGAACGTGTGTTAGTTGGGATGGAACCTGACAGAGCGTCCAAGATTATTAGAAGAATACGCAGAAGCAAACTGCGTGACCGTGGTCTTTTTTATAGGCTGCTCTTTAGTAGATGCTCCCACCTGTTGCCACTGGATTTCTTCCTTCTAGTTACTTCCTCTTTCAGTGTGGGGCACCAGATTTCCAACCTTCTTTTTTGGGGGAAGGGAGTGTGATGGACGTAGATCATTTATTCAGTAAGCATCGTGTAATACGGTAAGGAAGTATGATGTAATAAACCATTTGTATTGGCAGAGAACAGGTTTTCTTTTTAACTGAAAGTAATTCCTCACTAGTATCTCGTCATAAAAATCCTGAAGTAGAATCACATGCAAGGCATGTGTCATTATGGGCTGCTCTTCTGGGAGGTTCTTCAAAGACCCAATGTAAAGAGTTGAGTTTTGCAGTATGCAGTGTTATGTGATGTAGGGCATCCATTTGCAGTATGCAGTGTTATGTAGGGCATCCATTGTAACAGGCATTTATGAAGATTTCTTTTGCAGCTTAGTGGTACTGTAGTCAACTAGACTGCTTTAAAAATGGTGCCTTTTGGCCAGGCATGGTGGTTCACACCTGTAATCCCAGCACTGTGGGAGACCAAGGTGGGCGAATCACCTGAGGTCAGGAGTTCAAGATCAGCCTGGGCAACATGGTGATAGCCCATCTCTACAAAAATACAAAAATTAGCCGGGCATGATGGTGGGTGCCTATAATCCCAGCTACTCGGGAGGCTGAGGCAGGAGGATCGCTTGAATCTGGGAGGCAGAGATTGCAGTGAGCTGAGATCGCGCCGCTGCAGTCCAGCCTGGGTGACAGAGTGAGACTCCATCCCAAAAAACAAACAAAGAAAATGGTGCCTTTTGTATAATTTACTCAACTCCGAATGTCATTTTGTTTTTAATTTCCTTATTAAAAGTCTTCATCTAAGGCCTTCATGGTTTTTCTTCGGCAGTATTGTGGTGGCTCCAGGTAATCATCCAGATACTAACTCTGCATGTGGCAGAGGCAGGCAGTGCCCTCGAGCAGTGCTTCTCTGACTTAAGTGTGCATGAGGCACCCGGCACTTGTTGAAATATGGGTTATGATTAGTGGGGTGGGGGCAGGGCCCAAGATTTCACATTTCTAGCAGAGGCTGCTGGTCCAGGGACTACACATTGAATTGCAAGTCCTAGGAAACTGATGCTTTTGTGGGTTGATTTTAGCTGTGTCCAGATTTTTTTGTTTTGTTTTTCAGAATCAGCATCATCATTTATTTTTTAATATTTTGTTGCCTGCTGTTCAGAAGTCAAGGTGAGAGTCAGGGGATACAAATCCTGCTTAGTCAAAAGTTTTTGTTAAATAGACAGTTTCCTTTAGTCACCCTCTGAATCTGCTACTCCGATTAACATGAGTTCAAATCTAGCTGGGCATGGCGGTGTTCACCTGTAGACCAGGCTATGCAGGAGGCTGAGGCGAGAGGACCACTTATCCCAGGAGTCTGAGGCTGCAGTGAGCTCAGGATTCCTTTTGGTAATATCCTAAAAACAATATATAAAAATAGCCCCACATAACACAAATAACAAAGTTTTAGGCCACACTTTCAAAGAAGAAAGCAAAATACTAGTTTTTCTAAGCTCTGAGTTATGTGTATAGACCCCGGGGGATTTTTGATGAGTCTCAGCAAATCTCCTTCCTCCTCCGTTACAACATTTTGTGTATCCCTTCTCTGCTTTTCAAACCCTTTCTGCTATTATTTGCAGCTTTTTGGCCCTAGAAAAGATCAGTCGAAGGTTTTCTTTCTTTCCCTCTTGTGTCTTTGTAGTTATTTTAGGAATAGAAGTCCCTGAGGGACTGTGTTCAACAATGGCTTGGGTTGAAAAATACAAAATCATTTCTTCATCCCAATTTTGACTCATTGATTTCTGTGAGCAAGTTATTTTGCTTTAACATTGGCACTTAGCCTTATGAAAATACCATACGTGCAAGAAAGAAAGTGAGAAATACACAAGTACTAGTGACTTTTAGGAGAAAGTTGTAGTACATAAAATATTATTCCAATGATTGATTTCTCTCTTTTTTTTTTTTTTTTTAAGACAGAGCCTTGTTCTGTTGGCCAGGCTGGAGTGCAGTGGTACGCCCTCGACTCACTGCAAACTCCGCCTCCCAGGTTCCAGTGATCCTCCTGCCTCAGCCTCCCGAGTATCTGGGATTACAGGTGTGCACCACCACACCCTGCTAAATTTTTGTATTTTTAGTAGAGGCAAGGTTTCACCATGTTGGCCAGGCTTGTCTCGAAATCCTGACCTCAAGTGATCCACCCGCCTCAGTCTCCCAAAGTGGTAGGATTACAGGCATGAGCCACCAGTGCCTGGCCAGTTTCTCTTTTATAAATGGTCAGTTTTGGGGGAGAGTTTAAGTTTTTTATCAATTGTAAAATGGCCATTTGCTCAGCTTGTCTAATCCTGACTACAGTGATGACAGTAAACCATGTGGCACCATTGACATTGAGCTGATCTTCAGGACGTGATGACAAGTATATTGTCTGTGCTAAAATGGATTTGGTAGATTTCATAACTTGAGCCATGAGGCCTGTCGTGCTGCATACTGATGGTTTTGGCAGGTTTGGAGATGGGTATGTGTGTTAGCAATGGAAAGTAATTCTTAAGCCATGAGGTTTACTAGAGGAACAAATAACCATCTATAATGCTGACACCTGGACAGGCCGTTCTGCCTTTAAGGAACTGAAAGTGAAGCCTGGGATGGGTAGAGAGTTTTCTAGTGCTCCCAGGCCATTTATTCATTCCGTTTAAATATTCACCCCTGTGATCTTAATATATATTAGTAGGCTTGTTTTTTTTTTGTGGGAAGATTAAATAAGATGGTGTAGGTATAACTTGTAGGGTGAGGTTAGCTTGTATTTCGAGTTCACCCTTTAGTCTAATCCCTTTCCACAATATAAGATGCCTGGCATGTACATTTTTTTTTTCCCGAGACAGAGTCTTGCTTTGTCACCCAGGCTGAAGTACAATGGTGTAATCTTGGCTCAGTGTAACCTCCGCCTTCCGGGTTCAAGTGATTCTCTTGCCTCAGCCTCCCGAGTAGCTGGGATTACAGGCACCCGCCATCACGTCTCGCTAATTTTTGTATTTTTAGTAGAGATGGGGTTTCACCATGTTGGCCAGGCTGGTCTCGAACTCCTGACCTCATGATCTGCTCTGCCTCAGCTTCCCAAAGTGTTGGGATTACAGGCGTGAGCCACTGCGCCTGGCCTGACATGGAATTTTTAATGATGACAGTGATGAGGTCAACAATAAAAATGACATGATAAACCAAATCAGTCACTTCCAAATTGATCAGCAGTACCACGCACGCGGCACATGCTCAGTAGCGGCTCTAGTATTTGGTCACAGATGTATCCAGGTAACCATGTGGAAGTGCAGTCACTGGAAGGAGCTTCTGCCCTTCTAAACGGGAGGAGGTTTCCTTCCTTGCTGCTAGAACCCAGATCAATGGATTAAGAAACACCAGGCTGAGGCTGGACACAGTGGCTCATGCCTGTAATCCCAGCACTTTGGGAGTTCAAGGCAGGAGGATCACTTGAGCCCAGGAGTTGGAGACCAGCCTGGCCAACATAGTGAGACTCTGTTTCTACAAAAAAATTAAACAACAACAACAACAACAAAAAACTAACTGGGCATGGTGGCATGAACAGGTAGTCTCAGCTGCTGCTCAGGAGGCTGATGTCGGAGGATTGTTTGCACCTAGGAGTTGGAGATTACAGTGAACTGTGATAATGCCACTGCACTCCAGCCTGGGCAGCAGAGCAGTACCTTCTGTTTCTTTCTTTCTTTCTTTTTTTTTTTTTTTTGAGACAGAGTCTTGCTCTGTCGGCCAGGCTGGAGTGCAGTGGCATGATCTCGGCTCACTGCAATCTTCACCTTCCGAGCTCAAGCAATTCTCCTGCCCCAGCCTCCCAAGTAGCTGGGATTACAGGCGTATGCCACCACACCTGGCTAATTTTTGTAATTTTTTTTAGTAGAGAAGGCGTTTCACCATGTTGGACAGGCTGGTCTCGAACTCCTGACCTTGGGTAATCCGCCTGCCTTGGCCTCCCAAAGTGCTGGGCTTAGAGGCATGAGCCACCGCGCCCGGCCGACCCATTTCTTAAAAATGAAAAAGAGGCCAGGTGCAGTGGCTCATGCCTGTAATCCCAGCATTTTGGGATGCCGAGGCAGGTGGATCACCTGAGGTCAGGAGTTTGAGACCAGCTGGCCAACGTGTTGAAACCCCATACTAAAAGTACAATACTTAGCTGCGCGTAGTGGTGCACACCTCTAATCCCAGCTACTCAGGAGGCTACAGTGGGAGAATTGCTTGAACCTGGGAGGCGGAGTTTGCAGTAAGCCAAAATCACGCTGTTGTA